CAAAAACTAGACATGTAAAAGCTATTTCTTACTAATTTCGTTCCCTCTACCTCTACTGATATTTGGTTCCTCAGAAGTTGGTATGAATTGGTGGTGTTTAAAGGGTTTTTTTTTCATGAGCACTACGATGTTATGAAAATAACCCTGAAAATAAGAACAGCAATAAGCTAGACCTGGCCTCCCATCTGTCTACATATATGAGTGCGGTGTGTGGTTGCTATGCCAACAGTCGTGTGCGCAGACGATACTGTAGGAGTAACCCCAAACAACGAGGCAGTCGCCGAAAAACATGACACAAATCTCCTCAGACACGCCAGAAGGAAGCCTTTAGAAAGCTCACGGATCGCCACTTAGTGAGATATACACTCTTTTGTAGCGATTTATGAGTGACAGGGGGCGGCTGACCGCAGAGCATGCCCTATCACGGCCCATCTCGTTTTTTTGATCCCCATTTGACGTCATAGTTTAGACAGGTGCGCGGGACGTGCAGGATCCGGACAAAAATGGCGGACGCGAGCCGAGTGAGATTATCGTCCCACAGGCGTAACACCGTATCCAAGGCGCCGAATAATTGTTCTCCTTCTCTCTGAAAAGGCGGGCCACGATTTGTTTTACCACACTTTGTGGTGATGAATATATGACGTTATTTTTTTTCTTCAACGGTTTGCCAGGACGACATGAACAATGTTGGGAAAGATTGCAGGTTGGATAGATCTATTACTTACAATACATTCGTCACGAACATGCATAAATAAGATTATAAAACTGTTTCTGTCTGCTTATTACGAATTATATGCCACGTGTATATTATATATACAGGGCTAATCAATCTTTTTATTCTTTTTTATCACTCATTATTCATTTTCAGTGGGTGTCGCGTTATTCAAATGAAAACAGCTCCTACAGGGCAGACAATTCGCTATTTCATTTTTCTAATCTTGTGAGTTTCATAGTACCGATTTTTTATCATTATATAATGGCTTACAGACAATTGATATAATTCCTATGCACCCTCATATATAATTCTCATCTAGCCACTTGTTTTTAAATCATTGATAAGTGTAGGAATCACAAAATTCCGTCGGTAGGACGACATACAATTGCTATAGAAGCAAAAGCATTAAACATCATAGGCACTAACTTATTTGATATACATTGAAAGTAATATATATTTACAGACACACTTGTAATGTCTGAAATATTCATTGCAACAAGACATGATGAGTTACACTTGTCACATTGAAATATAAAAGACGGGGATCCTTCAAAATCCTACTGCAAATAAGTTGGATTGAATCCTTGCATTTCTTGTAACTTGTCGCTGAAAATACAGGACAATTTTGCGCGTAAATGTTTGCCACAGCGGCTATGATTATGTAACAGCAATATTCGACTTAAAGTACATCTAGAGTTTCCAAACTACCTATGACTTTCCGAGTCTAGAATGACCAGTTTTAACTCATGACGTATACTTATGGCATCAAATGTAACCGTTCTTATTCAAGAGTGTCCGGGGGAGCAAATGCATTTTAGGGACGCTTTATGATAGAAAATAACTTAGAAATCATCTAGCACTAAAAGACGTTAAACACCGGAAGAGATTTAGAAAAAAAAGCAAAAATCTAGATTAAAAAAAAGACATAAATCAAATTACAGAAGAAATGAAGTTTTACCATGGTATACATATAGCATACCAAATTTGTGGTATTTTGGGTACGTAAAATCGCTGTCACAGCCGTCGTAAGGTAAGTTTCGACAGCAAAACAGTTCAGTCTTACGACAGTCGTGGCACAAAATCTAGCTGTCCGACGACAGAAAGCTAACCGTAGATTCTTGTCGACGATTAGTTCTAAGGTAGTGTCGATGAAAATCCTACGACCAAAAAATGTACAACGATGCCACAAGTACATGTGTAAAGCACTGCACAGACATGAGATTGAGAAAGCACTGTAGAGTTCTGTATGGAAAAATACCACTCGTGCGTCCAATTTCTTCATTATTCATAGAATATCACAAATCTTTATGGCTATGAAACGAAGGCATCCAGTGCAGTTTTTAGGGCCTGGAAACCCGATTTTTTCACAGCCAGTATTCTTGTCATTTATCTACATAGTGAGTTGAAACCACACTGTGCCAATGTGTATTGACCCTCATGGAGCAAAAATTTGCAAAATTCTGACGGAAAATGGTTACTGGAAGGGCCTTGGGTTCATTTTAGGGTATCACTCAGAAAATAGAGGACTCCTCTTGGGGCTTGTTTTTGCAGTTTTAAATGCCCAAAGTATGAAATGCTGACTCAAACGTGCTAATGTGAAGCAGTATGTGTCAATATCACAAAGATTGCCTTATTCAGAATATTTCCAGTCTTGCTGCCCCGAAATCGCATTGGATGCCTTTAAGAGTTTCACGTCTGGCAGTTTTCCGTGTTATGGTTGTTACGTTACGCCCATCCTCTATGCGCACTCTTCTTCTAGCCCACCGCCATGTTGTTTTTCACTCGCATGGTTCTGAAAAGCGCCCATGCAGCATATGCCTATAGTCTCCACTAGACTAGTCATACTGACTGAGAAGTACGGTATAGTATAGTAACATCTAGCCAAGTAAGGAGAATAATTTAGGAGTTTGGCCATCATAGTTTCATTTTCTCGAGCAATGTTAATCTTACCGTGAGCTCACTCTCTTCGCCAATATCCATCCTATTTGTTTGCCGAATTCTACTATCCATAAAAAAACCCATTAGGAAGGCATTGTAGAGGCTAGTATGGCTACCTCCAAAGTAACCAACCAACAAAGACATACTTTCTTAAAATATATATTTTTTTATGTATATCTGTCACGGTTAAGATCATGCAAAGATTATGAACTTTCTACGTATACCTTAACGAAAGACCTTTTACACACATACTTTATACATGTACGTACAATGCTGTGCATTATACATTTCAACGCACTGTTAAAATTCAAGTTCTATCCGTGGTTTATGTGGTTATAGTGGCTTGTATAGTTCTATCATGAAAATAACCAGAAATTGGGCTAAAAAGAAACGCAATTCTGAGATGAACAACAAAATAAAAAGCCGGAATACCTGTGTTCATGTACAAAGTAGATTTTCTTTGAATATGGTTCCCCTGCTTTTTTTACGACATCAAAAAATTTGGCACTATCATAGCATAGATTTATAATTTTAGAGGCGAAATTTGATACAGTTAAATCAGTTATGTGTACATAAGAACATTTAATGCAAACTAGCAGTTAATACGATGTCGTTTAAAATACTGATTGACATACATTTCGACTTCTAAAGTTTTGATTGCCAAATACAGGTAGGTTTACGTTGCAACATTTTTGCAAAAAATCTTAAATAACGCTTCTACCTTCAAGGATGCATTGAAAATCAGATATTTACACGTGTTCATAATAATGATAATCTATAAAACAATATCAGCCGATTGATATAGAAATGTTAAATATTTGCAACATAAGTGCTCACAGCGTTTACACATATATACACCGGTGAGTGGAATGACTACCCACGCACATGTAATAAAATGGATGAATGAAAGACGTTTATTGTACATTTTTGCTCATTGCTAACTAAGTACAGGTCACGGCAAATAGCGATGGTAGACTAAAATATATCTATAGTAAAACTACACATGTACAGGTTCTGCTTCTTCTCGCTTCTTAAGACAGTTGTAAATGTAAGAACAGATGGAGCTTATAGTACGACGGTTATCGGGTTTCATGAATATAAAACGTTTCTCACAAGATCTATGTCTTACATAGAGCTGCTCTTATAGAAAATTCCGGCCTGTGTACCCCAGTGACAAGTTTCATTTTGCATGTCAATTCGTTACAGCTGCATCAACACTTGTGTGGATTTAAGTTACACAATTCCAACCGTTTTTGCCAGTTTAAAGAAAATATCACCGCCTGTCTTGTTTTCTTTTTCATTCACGTTGATCTACCAACGACCATGTCGGCACAACGTTAACATTAAATTCTACACTCTCTTACTGGAATTTCGACTCTTCCAACAAAATATTCTTTGTCTGATAGTATTAAACGTTGCCATTTTTCTGAAATTAAATTTGTTGATTCGTATTTGTAAAACGGCGACTGGTCTAAAGGCCCGGAAGGTACAGCTGATCTAGGCCTAGTAAAATAACAAAAAAAGGCCTCTTCAGTGACTGATGCACATTTGAATGTGTGCGTTTTGACATTTTTACCTCAAAATCCATGGCTAACCCCACGGCGTGGCTTGCTTATGTTACCGCCCTAAAACATAACATACGGCCGATGACGTTCTTCTTGTGACTTACTGTCGCAGATGCAGTAACGCAATACTGGAAAGCGTACATATCCTAGTCTCCACCAGAGTCCTTTGCAGGCCGGAGAAATAGTAGAAATTGGCCTAATAAGAATGTCACTGGCTAGGGGAGTTGGACGGCCATAGAGGGTCCAGTTAGCCTTTAGATCTATGCAGGCAAACTGGACCCTCTATGCTATGGCCGGCAAACTCCCATGGCCAGCGACATTAATTTTTAGCCCGATTTGTACTATTTCACCGGCCTGCAAGGGAGTCTGGTGGAGACTAACATATCCACTGTTGTACTTTTTGGATCTCGGTGTAATATTGTTTTTCCATTGTTCACCTACCTGAAAATCTTGAGATTTCTAAAATACGCCTAAAAGCCGCCGAAAACTAAGCATATGCTTCGCAATTATAAAAAAAAGAGTCTGTAAAACATGGCTATCGTGAATGTTCATTGGTCCTATGGGATAGAGTTCTCAAGAATTTGCATACCGAGATTTGGATGAAAAAACACATTTTTGTCCCCAAAGAAATGAGCGTCTTTAGTTCTTGTCAAATTATTCATGATAACCGGTGACTTTCAGCCAATCGCTGTTTATTTTGGGTGCATGCGACCAATCAAAAGGCTCGTGTGACATTGGCAAACAAACATGAGTACAGGGTACAAAGGAGGTCTCCGTTTTATAAAGTCCACTGCCTAGCCGCTGTGTTGTGAGATCTCTTCATTCAAAACCAGTCAGGACCAACGAAGACACCACGTTTTTCTCCTGGTGGATAGAGGGGTGTCTCAACATGATGACAGAAAGCATCAAGTCTTTTCGTATTGACGACCTCCTAGCGTCGGACCGGCGCAAGCTGCAGCGAGCTTCGGGGCTAGGCGTGTGGAGTCCCCGGCAGAGAAGCCCGACCGCCTCGGAGCCAAGTCCACGGGGCGGTCCGGACACCCCGCCCGTCTCACCCTTAGCCGAGGAGAGTTCTAAGATGTCGCCGCCGTCCAGCTTCGTCCCGAGACCGGGTCTGCTTCACCTGCACCCGTCAGCCGGCCTACCCCTGCACCCACACCCCGCCTACAGCCAGCACCACTTCCCGTTAACGGCTAACGGGGCGCACCACTTCGGCTTCTCGGGCTTCCACCCGCATCACCCCGACCATCTCAAAACAGCCATGCCGTTCGAGTGGGTCCGAGCTGCGGGGATGATCATGCCCAGAATGGATTACGGAGGTACAAAACTTATAGTTTCTTTATAAATTCCTGGCAGAAGATAAAAAAACGTAATCCTACGCAGAAAAGGATTCAGTTTAATTTTTAGACATGTCAGGCTAACTACGAACCTATATGTGAAGATATCTGAAATCTGATTTTTTAAATTAGAAATATACCTAAATTCATAAAGCCAGCATATGTACATCACTACATAGATCTATGGTGGACAGTTGATGTTAGCGTTATTGTTGTCATCAGAAATCTTTAAATTTTATACGTGTAGGCTAAATATGATGATGTGGGAATACACATGTATTATAGGTCGTTTTAGGATAACCATAATTTGTGTTTCTAGAATAAGTATAATTGGATAATCATCGTAGAGCTTATATTGTGGTGATTCTTCTGGTGACTTTGAGTTTTGGCTTTTTTACGAATTACAATCGCAAATGAAAAGATTCAACCTTTTCCGGAAGACCAAAGAAACTTCAAACATGTCGTTACAAAGAGATGACTACGTTCGTCTAAAGTGATACATCTATTCAAGGGTAAGAAATTACAATAACAAGGTTCTAGGAGGAAGACTTCAGGGGTGGTCTGGTCCACATTGTTGCCGACCACACTGTGAGCGTGAAAACCCGGCCTTTCGGCCCGAAACGACCGCATAATGAACATTTTATTGGCGACTATTGTCAGAAGAAGTCGTCCCTTTCAAGAACGGGATTGGCGTGAAAATTGGAAATTTTCCGTTTTTCTACGCTACACAAATTGATTATTTGCATCACTGTAATCAGCAATTTTGCAACCGCCTTTCTTACCTTAGTGTTTTTCCATACTGGATAGAAAGGTCTTGTATAATACTAGTACTTGTTTAAAACAAGTTATAAAGCTACATTCTCCTTTACATTCCTCTAAAGACAGTTATAAAATAGTTTCCTTTACCTAACTGCGAATATTGAATGATTAGGATGTCCACCAATGCCACAACGTGCTGTGTACAGGCAATTTAGTTCCTTAAGTTCCAGATGGTTTGACCAAGAAGGTCCTTAGGAGACTGCGTGTTCCTTACCGTATCGTAGCATGCTTTAGAAGGAACCACGTCATCGGCAATGACAACCCCAAGTCCCACAAAGCCCTTCTCAAACAACCAGATTCCCCGAAAAAATGCGGCCGCGCGGCGCGGGGGATTACCACTATTTAGCGACCCGCTCACACTGTTTACACCCATTGCACACCTGAGTTCGCACCTGCGAGAACACAATAAATCACCTCACGCTTTGAGTGGCGTGTTTTAAAAGGTGGACTTTGGTGGGAATTGCTTTCTAATAGCCGAAAGATCCCGCCATTTCCGAAGATGGTGACGAAGAATGCCGAAGTCAGGTTTAATCTGTAACCGTTTAGAAGTTAGCGCTGCCACAGGTGAGGCTGTGGGCTGGTTGTTGGATCAGGTGTGTGGATATGGAGTAGGTGGATGTTATGTAGAGGTAAACAAGTCGACAACACACAGCACAGTGTTGTGGCGTGGTTAACACGGAAATTACTATAGGTGTAGGACACCTGACTTCCCCAATGCAAAATTAACTTTACCAAACGTGCCTGTTTAGATGGAGCCTCCCTTGAAAATACAATTTTTCCTTATAGCAATGTCTGTTTGTTGGAGAGATCGGTTCACAATTTTCAGCATTTGTTTTTATAGGTTAAACAAACAATACGGACGATGTTTTTGTCGGCGCTTTAGACATGTAGCAAAGAATCTGCCAATTTTGTAGTTTAGGTAAAGTAGAAGAAGAAGTTCATTTTACCGTAGATAGCGATAGAATCATTCTTTTCAGTTATGTGTTAAGTAAATTTCCCCACTTCAAATATTTGAATAGTACAGACAAATTTATATTCCTTATAACCTTCGACAAACCAACTCTAACTAATCATAAAGTCTCCTATATTTCCACTATTGTTATATTTCAACAATTTGCGCAGTTCATATGACAGTACTGGCATGTCCAGGACTTAGGGCTACGTAAAGAAAATGTATACTAGTATAAATTCCTTGCAAAATTGAAATTTATTTCGTATGATTTTCCCAATGATATCAGTGATATGCTTAACATTGTACTCGTGGTAGATAAAAATTGGAAGCAAACTGGAGAATAAAAATAAAGAAGATTTTCAAATAGAGCGAAGAACCAACGGCAAAGAACTTTCTATGAGGCAAAGGATTTCATGGTCGTGCCGATCGGAAGTCGACATTCAGACCACACAAAAGACTCAATGAACCGGCCTAATCCACCACCACAATGCCCCCAAAGGAAAGCTCGCTTAAATTAATTTCATATTGAGAGCGGCTTGTCTTTTAGAAATAGGCTTATGGTCCGCCATGTGATTTTTGTCCGGTGGAAAGATTTCAGAAAACCTCCGTCTGTTTATAATAGATAAAGTCTTGGACTTGTTAACGTCATGTAATCTCTCACGTTTGGTATCTAAACTAAAAAGAAATATATCACACAACCTACGGTGAATGTGACAGACGTTTGAAAGTTCAGTTTCCGAGACGTTTTACAATTCCTGACACGTTTTTTTAAATGAATTGAAGGCAGATGTGTATTCCAGACAAACTAAAGGCACGCGCGGTTAGAATTTCAGATGTATTTCACACCAAAAAGCAGGGGTCAGCGAAAAGAAAAGGAGTCATTTATCGTTCGCCCGTACCTGTTTTGTCCCCGTTCTTTTGAAAGCAAGTGAAATTGGCCGTTTTCTTTGTGCCGGGGACAATTTGTATCAATTTAGCTTTGGTTCAGCGCTGGTTAATTGAATCAGCAACTGCCGTATGTCGGCGAGAGCGCGTGGCCAACAAAGACTTCAAACGGGAAAGTTGCAACAGTTTTGATTGTCCAACAATGGGACACGGTTTGCATAGCTGATAAAATTACATCTGCATCAAAAGAGGGGGAAATGGTTTGAAATGGCCCCCTCCCGACACCGAGGGGTTGTGATTCTAATCTTTCCTGTCACCTTTTTAATGGGTTTTGTACAGATTTCATGGGTTTTACGCACCTCGTTGGATCACGCAGCGCAAAACGACCCGTGAAATTTGCGTTAGAGGGGGGTATGAGAAATGCCTATTTACAAGGAAAATACAGAAAAGATTTTCACGTTATGTTTTATATTCAAGATACATGTACTGCCGTCAAGAATATCGTTTATGATTCAATGTGAAGTAGCAAAGGAAGGAAACGTAGCAAGTCGTATTTGAGAGATAAGAAAAGGAGAGTACATACAATTCCGTGTGTGGCCAATTCATGACCACTTATTTGTCATTTTAATCATTTTTACACATCCAGGCATTACCGCACATCCATCTGCAGGTTCCCACAGACATTACAAATTTGCCACTTTTCCTAATGAACCGTGAAATCTACAGATAATCAACAGTTGAACAATTTTCCGCCACTTAAAGAGGAAGGAACCTAGGAAGGTTCTTACTATCAAACAGATCAATTGGTCGGCTTGTATTAGAACTATTCTTACTCATAACTAGTATATATGTCAAGTTTAGCCTCTATCAGGCTTGGGAGGCGGCTGGAAGAGTAGAAATTGGCCAGATAGAGAGATAACATGCCATGGGAGTTGGTCCACTAGAGAGTACATTTTGCCGCTATTTGACCAATTTTTACTCTTCCAGCCGCCTCCTGAAGCCTGGTAGAGGCTATGTCAATTCTACAATATCGTTGATACATACGTTGTTATAAGTTAGCCTCGTGCGTAGTCTTCTAAGGGTGCAGCGTTGTTTTTTACAGACCCTTAGGGCGGTGGGTTATTTTCGGGGAAGGGCCTTGTTCTCTACTAGGCTAACAACGCGGGTTTCAAGAACAGTGCAATTTAGCCTCTGACGTATTAGACAACATTAGCCCGTGTAAAAATGCTTATGATCACCTCCTCCAAATATAAACGCCGTCGCTTTAAGAAGTCTGCCACGGAGGCTACCCGCCAGGCGAAATTTTACTTTTCACGTGAAGAAAACAATTTAGCTGTCACAGGCCTGACACACTGAAAGAGTGATTCAGTAATTTCCGACAAAAAGTGTTTCCGCGAATATACTGGCCGACAGATGGAGCGGAAGCGGAGAGAACATTAGTCTGGTCCCAGATACGCCCCTTCCTCGATAGCCTCTTTAGAGGAACAATAGTGCAACATTTCCTTCATACGAGCTAGTCAAACCTCCTTCACATGGCACAAAAAACGGGACGCTTTGGTTGCCATGAATCGACTGGAAACGTAAGAAAAATCTAGCACATTTACTTGTTTTTTTAATACAATTTTTGGTTTGCCGAAAATCAGAAGAACAGAAACTCACACACCGAGCATGGTTTTCTTTGCGGTCGACAATTTGAATGAATAACAAGCTAAGGCACATTTCACAGTCGTAGTTTGTATTAGCAATAGTTTTATTATCTTAGTAGATTTTTTTTCTTCAACCAGTTCCCCCAATGTATCGTTTGACAGAATTCATTCACCATCCTAAAGATGATTTATAACGAAGCAATTACGTCAAAATTATTAAACCAATCCTATTCATAAATCCGTACTCATCCACGCATTTGTGGCTCCTTTTGCAGCCGCGCTTCTAAATCGCCGGGCTGTTTATCTTGCCCACATCCCATTCCCCCTCGTTACTTTCCTGCCATGTCATAATTGGGGTAATTACCAGCTTGAATGCCACGGGATATTGCCACTTTATTAACACTTGTGTGATAACCCCAGTCGACATGGTCAAACATCGAAACGATCTATCATCCAGCGGTCGTGGCGACGCCGAAATTTAATATCCACATTCGCACGTCTCCGTTTGAACAGTAATCAGGGGGAGTTCAGAAAGGTTTCAGCTCCAATTGAGCGGAAAATGTCTTCGGCAAACAGTTAGTTCAGCAGCGGGCGGCTTGCCTGTGAGAAGCACGTCTCGGCAGCCTGGTACCAAACCGCATGATTTCGCATGGAAGCAGCAGATCATGACTTGGTGAAAG